GTCCCTTCTTATAAGTATTGTGAAACTTAGTAGCTGTTTGATTCTCCGAATAATTACTTTGATTATCATAATCCTCTTTATTCCAACTACTCGGTACTATTTTACGATCACAGTGACATTACGTTACTGTTACGTAGCGCAACTACTCGACAAGTATTATTTCATTGTTTTAAATCACACATATATATGGCACATTTGACAGTCTAACTGTGAACTAAATTTGGATTCTGCAAAAAAAAAAAATTGTATTTCAGAGACCTGAGAGCAACTGAGTTTGTTGTTTTCATGATATGATGAATTCAGAAAGTGAGACATCTACTGCAGGGGAAATGAGTCAGCTGTATGGGAAGCAAAGCAGACCTATAAAAAATGTGTCCATGTATTTACGGGAGAGTTCAAGGACCTATCTAGTATGGAAGTCTTAAAAATTATTAGGTAGATGATCTGATTCAAGATTGGCGGGCTCTAGTGTAGCTGACCAATTAGGTATCATCATAATCAAGAACGCCTTATCAATTTGTGAGATAATTTCGCCTGTTCCTTCGACATTTGTATGAACGAAAAGGATTCAGTGCCTAAAATTCATCTGGTCTCTAACGTGGGCAAAAGTTAAGTTAGTATAAAAGTGATGTTAATCAAAGACTTGTAAAATTTCTTCTTGACACCTTTGCTTCTAGTAATCGTATGGATCTTGTTTTATTTGCTTCAGAAATTGATGAATATCAACTAAAATCCTCCGCAGAGTCGTGCTGAAATAAAATTACTTTTGTCTTCTGAATATACATTTTGTTTCGGTTGGCTAAATATGTTTCAAGTGAACGTTTGTCTTGTACACGTATACTTTGCTGTCAAACGGTGACTTCTGAGATACAATGTGCTCAAGAATAGGTTATCGGTTTCTGTGACAACGTGAGGAACGACAGAGCTCGTGCTTTGCACCTTACTACCGCCCGTAATTGAAAGGAAATGTGCTCTGTCGTCAGGTCCTGACTTTTTATATTAAGTTTAAGAAATAAACGACCAATTATAACGAACTCAAAACTAGCTATTTGATTGGGCGGAACAGAATGAAAATTATTGGAAGATGGGGATGAAAATTTTTTTCCAATGGGACGAAAAATAATTTCACTCGAAAAAAATAAAAAATGGCCGTGCAATTAATGTTAATCCTGTTTCAGTCCACTAACCTCGTCCAAAAGCTAGGAAGTCACACGCGTAGTCGTACTAGACAATAACTGGTAAACTATATACCCAGCACATACTTTATAAGGATAGCTCAATGTGTCATGCTGTATAATGTTCCTGATTTTATTTAAAATCATTGAACGTTTCTTATATGACGTGTCCAAAAGCTGATGCTGATACATAGAGTGTACTACGGGCTGACCCACGACTGACTACTTGAGCGAGAATACAGAATTGGGCGAAAATGCGTATTGATCTGCCGAATAAAATTCACAAATACTCGGTCAAATAAATACCACTCTAAACTTTCGTTAACTGATCCGTTTCTTAGCCAATGAAATGCATTTATCAGCTAAGTCACTTCTGATTGCTATCGATTGATGTCATAAGGCTCTCCATATCAGAAATCACTTGGTGTCTGATCAGACAAACAACAACAATAAACTGAAGTGAGTTGTGTCATACATCCCTTAAATCCCATCAGTCCTGCTGACCAGCGTTCGTAAATCTGGAACAACCAACGATCTGAGGTGAAAAACTACTCTAAAGAGAATGAATTAAGTTTATTCCACTGCTCCTGACTGATCGTCTATGCGGATCATTCTGGTGACAAAAATGTTTCATACCAAAGTGTGAATATACAATATAAGCACAATATACAGTACAGTACTGAATGATCATTTGTCATGAGGTATTCAGTATATATATATATATATATATATATATATATATATATATATATATATATATATATATATGATTGTAAGCAACTGATGAGAAGTCGCTAGATATAATGAATTCATATTATTCTGCATCGATAATTTTTCTGGCTTTAATCATATTCGCAAAGGGCAACAATAACATGAAATTTCATTATATGTATATAAATCATGTGGTTCTCATCATAATAGTTGGTAATTTGAATAGCGCTTAAGATTTTCATGATCACGTTCACCCCATGCACTTCGAAAACCATTAATTTATGTTGTTTGCTTTGTTGTTCATAAGAACTTTAGTGAGCTTGGCTTCTACAACTTCTGCACTTCATTTTCGAAATTGATGGTAAGTTCATCACAAATGAATAGATATCTCATGACCAATTCTGATGCACGTTTCACGACTGGAGAGTTTAGTCATAACATGATTTGCAATTCTCAAGATTTTTCTGTGTCCTTATGCAAAAAGTACAGTTTTTTATCTAAAGAGTCTGCCGTGATCTTAATGTTCAGAAGATCACTGTTTTTATTTTTACCCTATATTATAGTTAGTGGTCCTTCCTCACCTTTCTATTCGGTCCTCATAGTTTTCCAAGTCAAGACTGGATCTAGTACATCCTAAACTTTTGTATCAATCGTCTTGTCCGTTTTACGCGGTTAGAGTGGATTGTTTTTTGTTTTATCATCGTGACCTCTCTAACATTCCATATTTTACTATGATAACGGAGAACATATGTTAGCGACCTGCGTGCAGTTTCGTCATCACCTGTGGTATGCTAAGGGACAGATGCAAAGGTTGGTTTCACGAAGCATGCACAGAGCTTACAGAGACTGCTCACATCGGACTTAGGAAGTCAGATCGCACTTGCATATATAGCCTGAATGTTGATGGTTAGTTGAGCGACTCAACACCATCATGACATCAAGGTGTTTGACTCTCTCAGCATACTTTTGTCTCCAACCATAGACTCTCCCAAAGCAAATGTGGTCTGCGAAAATTCTGTAGGTAACTAGATTCTCTTCAACAGAGACAAAAACGATCGAATATCACCATTAATAATGCTTAACCGCCCAGGTCTTGTAGTATACTCAGTTAATAAATCAGGAATCTAGTGTACTCCCAAGAATGTCCAACCAGTCAACAAAAGGCGCTGGGATCCTGACCACAGTCTAACTGCTAGACAAAATCAACTCAAACATTGTCATACTCAACATCTGAGAAAACAATCATGGTTCACGATGATTTCCTACAGAATCGTGAAATTTTAACAGAACTCTGAAATACCTCTCAGTCTATAGATCAGTAACGTCAGGTTGTCTTGGGAGGAGCTAAACACGAATCTCATGTTTCTCAAAATTGAGCTGCTATTGGTTACACGGCTCACTTGGAGGGACGAGATTAAACACCGAAATCTTCCCAAACCCCTTCGTGTAACATTCACTAACACTACTGAGGTAGAGGATGTTCTGTTGACAAGTCGCTTACTACAATCAGAAGTGAATTTGAAGATGCTACCTATTCTACCATATTTTCAGTGCAATCTCAACAGGGACATTTCAAAAAGATCGTGTGTGACGTTCTTCTGCGGAAAAACACCATTGTGCAAAGTGTTCCAGAAAACGCGAACTCTGATTATGCAGACTTTAATATTTCAGAAAGGACGATCACAAACCTGTCCTTGATGCTTAACAACATATTTAACCAACAGTGGTGCAATTGTTTGGAAAGAAAGGGGATTCTAGACCGTGACACGTTTATAGGGTGTGACATCTGTATGAAAGCCTGGTCCCTCGACCTCGTTTGAAAACCGAAACCATTCGAAAATGTAAAAAACTGAACTCTTCAAATACTGATACGCAAAACGCCCTACTGGGAAGAATACAAATGAAGTGATGACGACAAAGTATATAGACAGTTCAAATAAGAAAGGCGACAAAAGATAACAGGCTGAAGATGTCACAGGTACTCGGAGTTTGACAACGCTTCAACCAGTAACACCTAATATGAATCGTACCCACCAAGTAAAATCAAAAGACAAAAGCGAGGAGGTTCGAAGATATATTTGATAGGCTATCAATATATCGAGGATCGTCTGATCTAATCTAGCTAGAGATCGCAGTAGATGTTGAGCACGGCGTTCCCACACGTGATCTGGTGCGGATGCATGACAGAGCGCCTTCAGCTAGATGAGTCCATTAAAACTAATGTGGTCAGCATCCAATGTTGAGAACTTACAGAGCTATTTACTATGGAGATTTATTTACGGCTACAAAGCTTTAGTATGATATAAAGCCAGTCAATAAATTCATCTTATTTTCGTCCTTCAGTTTTTCTTTGACAAGCGAAAACGGATTTTTTCAGTTATTACATCGTGTTGGTCGAACCAATGGCGGCGGTGCTGCTGACTTTTATCAGAACAGTATGCTCAACAGTTTCAACTATCGATGAGTGCTTCACCCACTACTCAATAGGACTCTCAGAACTGAACCTGAGCTCTGGCTGTATGCATCAGAAACTGTAGCTTATAAACAAGTATATTTCTCCTGTCTTGGTATGGGTCACCATGCACATCGAGGCAAGGGGCCTCTCTAAACACCCTCGGAAATAGTGGAGTGCTGGCACACAATGTCTAGTGCCACTGCAGCTACGACAATAATGCCTTTCGAGCAAACATTGCACTGGTCAGTTCGACAGTAGAACTTTTCATTTGATCTTCAACAGCAATATTCGACCCCATTCAGAGAATGAAAACAGTATTTCCACCATCAATCCAAAAGGATAATAAAACACTGGAACGTATTGAAAGGCCAAACAGTTCATGGAAGCAAATCCAAACCTTACCAAGAGTGCATCAAGACACTGAACCTTTACCCATTAGATAATGGGCGTTTCTTAGGTGACTTGTCAAATTTATTATGATAAAGTTTTTTGTACTCCGTTCGAACGGAGTTCTGATCAGAACCATTTGAACTATTATGGTTGTTTTCCGACTTGAAGACACAAATATTCAAAAGATGAATTTTTAGTTGAATCACTGTGAGTTGTCTTTATAAAGTTACATCGTGTTTTTTTTAATTCATCAATACCCATTTATAGAGTTTAGCGGTAGATTTGTTGCACTGCTAGCTTTTGGGGTGGGTGGGTTGTTCACATACATTTTTGCAATTAGTAATCGAGTACCTTATGTTTTGTAAGCTTGTCATTGGAATTCTCTTGTTCATCCTGTGTAACAACCTACTTGTTCAATACAAATGAATTTAGGGCGAGACTATAACTTGTGGACATGCTCAAAGGTCATCAATAAATTATAGTCTCACTGAATTCAGTTTTCTTAACCTCGTGGCCATGGCTTATTGTCTTCAGACAACTGACAGGGTTATAGGTTGTGTACATGTATATCAAGGCTTAACAGTGGTAGAAGCTGCATTTTAGTCGAAAACTTCTTTTAATTATTCTAAGTTCCTATTTCAGATTTTTATCGAGTCGTCTGTCTTCTATCACCTGCTGACACTTATAGAGCAACCAATCTCCGCTACAATGCCTAGTATACTTTATGGTGTTTTCTGGTTTTACTTCCTTGCGGTCACCTGGTTCTTCTGGAGTTCGGTAGTGTCGGCATGTTTCAAAATCCAGATTATCCAACACTTGTATATTTCTATGTTGGATAGACTGTTTTCCGTACGTTAAAATTCTTTCGCTGATGTATACACTTAGTACGCCGCCTTGGCTGTCACAGTAAAAGATGATATTAAAAGAATAAGGAGTGTCGACAGTTTTGAAAACCTTGATACGTATGGTTGGTTTCTCCACCTCAGTGATCTCTTGCTTCAGATGATGATTTGATTGAAAGGGATATTCAGCTAACTGAAGGAGGTGTAAAGGTTAAAAATAATCTTGTTCCAGATCAAAAAGGATTCAGATTACACTACCCAACCTACTTAGTTAAATGTGGGATAGAGGTTTGTGGCCTCTTGCAAACTACTGTCTTAGGCTATTATAGAAGATTCTGTCACCAAGAGATTCACAGCTGCGGAGTTACGAGTATGGAATTTCTTGAGTCGCAACCAGAGTTATGTATATGCCAAGTAGGTGTGTTATTTTTACCATTCACTTCTTAGGAGAGATAACCATACCACACTAATGATGCTATGGCTCGTGGGCCTCATTGTTCGTTATGTAATATTCCTGCCATGCAGGTAAGCTTTATAGTTATCGTTAATTCCTCAGACTTGTTGTTTTCCTCTCTTCAGTTTTCTTCACATGGATTTTAGGCGCTGTGGCTCGGAAGCTTCCTCCTTCACGGTACTTTCACTTTGTTACACTCATTTATGAAGGTTTAAAAACTGGTTATCCACTGAAGGAATCCAGGCAGCCGTACGGCTTAATTTGTGTTCATTCTCCGCTGTTATTCGTTTCCACAACAGGTTTGTTTTTTTAACCAATTAGTATCATCGTTTATCAATTACTTTTTCAAAAGGAAACTGAGACGTATATTATGAAGCATTCGTAATCATCTTTTTTAAAAATTATGAAAGACTTTTTGGCATAGGACCATTTCTTAATAGCTTAACCTATTAAGTTATAGACATTTTTTCGTATCTGGGATAATGGTTACGGGATCGACTCAAATAAACTCCGGAAAACCTCTTTGAGATGTGGTACTAACAGCGATAACTTGTCATGTTCATCAATTATATCATTAGATAGTGAAATGTTCTGTCATCAAACCAAGCACATAATTTCATAATGGACTTCGAGCCACATTCCTCATGTATGAGTTGGATGTTCTATTCAGTTTCCAAAGTCACAGTGGATTCATTGGTTCTCAATCCCAGTTTCTCCATTAAGACCAAGAGTCTTAAACACGCGTGAATTTGTTTGGTGGATACGAAAGGTTCACTTAAAGAAGCTAACAAATTCTGCTTTCGAGCCGGAGGTGCATATGGGACCAAAACATTGAAACAATAGATGGTGTTCGGGCTAAACTGAGACTATATATATATATATATATATATATATATATATATATATATATTACCGTTTGTTCACTCGTCCAGACCTCGTAAGTAGCTTTCTAAAAGCCATCTACCTCAGTTTCTGTGCTTGACCATTATTGCAACCTTTCTATAAATCATGTTTTTTGAAGTTTTCGTAACTAGTTTCAAAAGTTTATGATCATGAACCCTATTTTTATGAACCAGATTATTTTTATCAAGTTATATTGTCTCTGCGTTGCTGGACGAAACCACTAAGCTATCACATATTTTTGATAATTGTTCATAAGGTTTTACAATTACAATTAAGAGTACTTAACAACATCATTTCGACTGTCATTGATTAGAGTACAGGTATTTGAAATGAAGTTTGATAACATTTATTATATTCGTAACTAAAAATCATAGGATTGTTTGCATATCCTAAAAAGACTTTGTTTCTAAGTTTGTTCATAGTATATTATTACACCCAATTATTTTGTACTGTTAGAAATTAATCGTATTTATGCTCATTACCTTTTATATAGAGAAAACCGCCCTAAAGCAAATACAATTTGTGTCGCCAACCATACGACACCGTTTGATTGGTGTATTTTGGCCTCAGACGTTACCTACGCTGTTGTAAGGCTTTTCCATAGTTTGTTCTGTAATTTTATTTCACCATTTGAAGTTATTTTGCCTTGTGTGTTAAACAATAGTAAACTGTGAGAAATGATTGAGTTGTATGCATTGGTTCATTTCATTCATTCATTTTAACACATAAGTATAGGTACAGGGAGGCACCAAATACATATGCGCCACACAAATCTCAATTGATTTGTGTGAGGGCTGTGATACTGCTCGGGTGCCCAAACCGAAGCAGGTGGTTTTCTTAGGGGGCCACACCCCGAGCCTTTGACCCAAAGGTCTGACCCACAAGGCAGTGGAGCATCGTAAGGAGATGCAGTCCCATGGTAGCCGGTGACCAACGATTGGTTCATACGCCATTTGTTCCCGCAGGATACTGGAGCCCATGTGCACCATTGGTTTGGGGTCCGGTTAAAGCGCCAGACATTCGCTTTTCGTCCTCTCATTTTCGTAAACAACACCCGTGGTGCGAGAAGGCAGTGAGTAGGACTTCCCTGGCAGAGGCTATATACGCATGGCCATGTGAGAGCATTTCGAGAGAGAGGGAGAGCGGACTCTCCCCACTCTCGGCCGTACCAGGGCATTTGGGGGCGTATGCATTGGTTATTGAATTCCCAAAGTATTGCCTCTCCGAGTAATATTGACTCTTGGTATAAAGTACTTGATAAAAGGGGAAATCATTTGTCATCCTTTATTAACTAAAGTGGTTGGGACTACTCTTAAGCATTTACCTACTCCGAAATATGGTGTTAGCTTACATAAGATTATACTGTAACAGTCTAATATTAGTCAGTGGTCTTGAGTGCTGTTAGAGGTATGGGGGCAGTTATCACTTCCCGGTTGCCCACACCATGGAAGGGTTCTGCTGGAGGTACCTGAAAAGGAAATTGGATTAGAGGTGGTCTTAGTGACCTGAGAGCGTGACCGCAGTGCCCAAGGGACATCTGCTTGAGGTCGGTCACACACGATCTTTTTATGAGTAATTTTTGTGTTAGCTCCGTACTTGTTGAGACCTTACCTCCGGAGACCGATATCCGTGGGATAAGGCGAGGTGTGCATTTTTAGGGTCGACCTTTTCTAACCCCACCCCTCCTTCTGGGAAGGCAGCATCGCTGTTATACTGGTTGTCTGAAGGAAACACCTTACTACTGTCACACCTCTGTACAGTCAGCAGTACGACTTCGCCTTCGGACCTTGGATTTGTTGCTTTTAGTCTTACCTCTCTTCAACCGACCTGTCTGGCATGGTAGGACCTTGAGGAACGGTTGTTCCAGTCAGTATAGCTCAGTTGCTTCATCACGATAGGCATACCCGACCACCATGTCAAAGTAGCAACAACGGTCAGGAACTAATTCTTTCTTCCTGTACTATCTCCTTATACACAATCTTTCTTCTATATATTATCACCACTGAATTAACTACTTCTATGAATCCGGTGTTCATCTTGTTGTGCTAATGCGGTATGGCAACTTGGACCGATGCATATACGTGCCTGGTCCTACGTTGCAGCTGACTGACTGACTAATATTAGTCAAATCAACACATGAAATCAGCCTAGTCATTCACCGTTGATGTGAACCATGTAGAAAGGTAGAGTTTTTCCTGGTGTTGGTCTACAGTAGAACCATACATATGGTCTCAAAATCCGTCTCAATAGTCTAGATTCTGTTACTTCTTATCTTCCATAAAGTTTTGAATCTAGTTTGGTTTTAAGTATGTATTTTTTTATACCTTACATCCACGTTTATTTCTTACAAATTTCGGTTAGACATTACGAAATGAAGTATTAACAATGCAATTGTAGTAGTACTTTTTGACCTAACATAAATTCACACATTTAACTTCTGTGGGTGCCTAAAATAAGGATCTTAATTCCAATTTTTAATTCGCTCGTATGTTTCCAGTTCTTTGCTTCGTTCTACAATACTTATTCAACTGACGGATGACCTGTTAAAGCTACATCGTATAAAAGACTTTTAAGTGTTGTTGTCTCAACATGTAGATCATTTCAGTTCATCAGTCTGTTTCTCACATTTTGTAAACATTACAAGGTCATCCTCCGTGGTTTCCAATTGTACAACTCACCAGTCCCACAGTAAGGTTGGAAAAGTCCAGAAATGTTACTTCCAACTTCATAAATAATTATCAGCGACCAGATATGATAATTTTGTATCAGATCAATTGATCAGCCTTTTATTCTATTTACCATACTTATTTTCCACTCTATAATAACTCCTACGACTGAATAAATTCATTTTAATTTCAATTGATGGGTTGAAATTCAGATTAACTCAGTTTGTGTTGTATTTTTCGAAACTGTATCCAATCACAAATTTTTTATGTAGTTAGCACTAGTGTTAACAGATTTCTCAGCCTGAAATTAAGGAAAAATCCTTAATTGTGAAACTGATCAGTGAGTTTCATCATTGTTTGGTGATTTATTAAATCCTATTCATTCTTTGATTCAATAGGATGTCAAAAATAATAAGCCTCACTTTAAACGCAGAGTCATTTCATTACACAACATCTACGTAACATATTTTCTCAATATCCTTACCGGATAGAAGTTCATCAAAAAGCTATATAAAATAAACGTTTAGTTATTGTTGAGATAACCTGATTGGCTGCTGATATTAAAAACAGTTCATTTTATCTGATTGGTTCACAATTAAAAGAAAAAAGATGGAGAAACGTATAAATGTTACTTTTGATCAATTTTAGACTTCATTAGGTTATTAAAACAACATGAATTATTGTAATAGAAAACCAGATAAAAAAATATATCTTCAAAGATTCTTAAAATATAACAATGTAATTGATGAAATATCTCAAAGCACTTTGAGGAATATCTTATTTCACAGAACTTAATCTTCAGCAGTCAGAGGTATAATATTTGTTCGGTTAAGAGTCTACTACTTTTCAATTAAAGTAATCACACGTTCACTTATGATCGACCTTCAGCTACAAAAATGAATGAACACCTAGCTTATTTGTTCAAATTGCTAACAGATATGTGCCGTATAAAAATATAATTGATATATTTAACTTAGTCATGGTCTAATATTCTCTTACATATGTCTACATTTCAAATATATGTAGTAAGGCCGATTATGGTTCAATATAACTGGTTACTCATTTTTACGAAGTATTCATGTTTGTACTGTGTTTTAAGCTACATCCCTTATGTGTAGACTGGTAGTACTAATCGACTACCCCAATCGTAGTAGGTAGGGTGGGTTTCGAACATTTAACCTACTGTGGCGTACTCTACTCGCAAGACTGCCTTAATTAGTATGTAGCGGAACGTGGCCTCGAAGCTCTCGCAGTTATCAGACGGAAAGAAGAGTTTCTGCACATCAAAAGCAGGGCGTAGGCAGAACACTTAAAGACCAGAAAAAAAACAGTTCACATTTTAGAACACACTGTAAGATGCAGATGAATGGCCGAAGGTTATGTATACGTATTATATAAACGCTATTTTCTTAAGATACCCATGGATTCCTTCTGTCTATTATCTTGTTTTAAACTGTCACCGATTGAGAACCGAATTTCATTACTTCACCAATTTCGAGTGATAGGCAAACGTTATTACGTAGCGATAATTTAGTGGTTAAGATATCCAACTTTCTGCCACCAAGCTTCACGTTTGAATCTCACTCCACCAAATTCAGTTTGGGCAACCAGATAATATCATTAGCTCCTTACATTTAGTCTGGCTCATATACACCTGGTGAGTGAGATTACTTTTCCTATATTTTCATTTATATTACTCTGCCGATACAACAATAAATTATAAATGAATAGTGAGTAGTTAAAATTAAAAAAAACAATTGTCTAGTTCTTTGTCAGTTTTGTCTAGTTAATTAGATGATATCTACAATATTTGTAAACCTTAAATATTATCTATTATTTTATATAAATGACACTATTCTCAATAGTTCTTTTCTTTTATTCAGGTTGGGCAAAAACATGGAGGATTTTTTGGTTTTGCTGAACGGATAATCTCGTGTGCTGTGCCTGCTGTTTGGTTTGATCGTGAGGAAATTTTAGATCGTCTTTCTACAGCTAAAAGGTTAAAAAATCACGCAGCTACACCGAATGCTGAACCTATTCTCATTTTTCCAGAAGGTACTTGTATCAATAATACATCAGTCATGAAATTCAAGAAAGGTTGTTTTGAAGTGGGCGCTGAAATTCATCCTGTTGCAATCAGAGTATGTATTGCTTTTTAACGAAAGCTTCCTAAGTGTATATATATATATGTATATATATATAAATCTTCAGGGAACTGATACTCCCTATGGAATTATAACCCGCGTTCCCCAGCTTCGCATTCTGAGATGTTACTGTAGAGCTATTCTGACCCCGACTTATTTCTCAATGGACTGAAATATTTACTTTGACTTATCAATGGGTATTGACCAATTTCATGTTTGATGCTGATCGAATTCTGTCGGTCAACTGTTTGACCATTCAATCAATACACTGTCACTAGTGTTTGTACGTGAATCAGGTCTCCTTTGTAAAAGTTAAGCTTTATACTTATCGCTAATTATGTTAATGAAAATTAATCTATACATTCTCATTCAGTATTTATGGTTTAACTGCTAAACAAACAGGCTATCAAACATTCTCACTCTCTGCCTCTACCACTGAAATTTTAGTTCTTCCTTTAGTGAAAACAAGTAAATTGTACCACTATTTGCTATGTTATAACCATCAGATACGCATAAGTCGTTGCTACAGTCCAGAATATAACTGGATAGCAGTTATATGTTCTGAAAAATAACAAATGTCACTGCAGTTTAAATCCTTGCAATATGTTTATATATGTTAGATTGTCACATACCGACATATATAACAGTTAACTTTAGTCATATTCGTTGACACGGTAACAACAACTAACATTTTCTGTTAATAAGTGCTGTCACAAGCTCGAGCCCATTCATTATCGCTGACAATTTTTTTTGCTTTCACTTATCATTATGTGTCGATCGTACTACTCACAAGTTCATTGGAGTTAAAAAATAGTAAACCATTAAGTAATTTCCATAATTATTTGTTGGATGACGTTTCATGGATACATAAAGTGAAATCATTCACAATATAATGTATATTTATATTCATTCTCTGTCATTTTGTAAATCTTGAGTTAGATGTCATTCTTAACGTGCTATCTTTCCATCACATTTATCCTTACTTGCACTGTATTCCACATGCTTAAATCTAAATCGTCTTCTATGTCGTTTCACATTCTGTTGATTCTCTTCCACTGTTCGAATATAAAGTGCATGACAACGTGAACCATGTTGTTATCATGATTAATGGTCGAAGATGTTGGATCAAGTTGGTCAGAATCTTTTGCAATGTCGCAGATACGTCCATTTGTCTTGCAGTACTTACACTTCCTATTCCGTAAATTCGTTCTGTCTTCTCATATCACGTTCTCTATTCCTAATATTTTCTACTACCACCAACACTGTTATCATTTCTACTACTCTGGCTGTTGTTATAAGAATTTCATTTTGCTGTGCTAATCAGGTATGGCAACTTAAACCGGTGCACATGCTTACCAGGTTCCACCTTGTTTACCACTGGCTGATTCGAATCTCGGTAGAATATGAGAACTATACATTGAATACTTCATTTGCAAATCTTCCGTCATTTGTCCTTCACATTCTGTATTATTCTTCTAAGTCACAATTTCCTCATATTTCCATTTCCGTTCTTCTCAAGTTGTTCTTCACAGCCTTCTGCTACCATAAATTGCTCTTCTGACTGATGCTACATACTAATCATGTCTGTCAACTTCAGTAGTTTTCAACTAATAAAATAACAACCATGCGAATTTTTCTTATTTTTCATGAATTTAACACCGAACATCATTTCGTTTGAGGTACCCCTTTCAAATTATCCAAGGCCTTTCAACCGTACAATAAAGTCATTTTATTGAATCTTATAGTTCCGTTGCGTATCATTTGTATGATTTTAACTAGTTATATATATATAAGCCACTTATTGGTTATCTGTTGATTACTCTTCTCCTCCCCTCTCTCCCATGTCCTATAAAAGTACAATCCATTATTTGCTGACTGTTTTTGGAACAGCAATCTAGATAGTTTATTCCAGTACAGTTTAAAAATAATGACATCATGGGCTATCATGGTAGATGTTTGGTATTTACCACCGACTCGAAAATCAGATCAAGAAGATTCAATTGCATTTGCAAGACGTGTACAGTATAGTATTGCACAATGTGGTGGTATGATTGGAATGGATTGGTAAGTAGTTAATAGAATGTCCTTTCTTTTTTTATTTTTACCGTTACCTTTGTATCATCTATTCATCACTAAGCAGTGACTAATTTCGTTTTTGTCTGGTCCTTTTTTGCTAATCAAGTAACCGGAAATTTCTTCACCAGCCTGAATAGGTTTACATCACGTGTGCTTTGTCGAGATGCTGAGTGGTTGAAAGTAATAGACAAGAAACTTTGAACCTAGGTTTTGTATTAGTTGGAACTCATCAGCAAAGTGCACCTGCAGTTTTATGGGAACTAATACTGTCTATGGAACCTGAGCCCTTATAACCCTGGCTTACCGTTTAAAACGGCAGTTACGCCTTGCTGACGAGTCTCAACTATCACGAAATTCAGATCTAGGGTTTACAGCCAACCTTCCATCATATAACACTTCTCTTTATTTTACTTGTAAGACATAAGTCTTACAAGTGTTTCGAAAAGAGTAACGTTGAAGTGTAGAGATTATTGCATGTCGGAGTGATAATTTACATCAATGTAAGTGCAATATCTCACTAATCATGTACATATCTTCACGGGTTTATCCATAAGCTAGAATTCTAATTATTGTCTAGTTAAAAATTGACACAGTTGAATTGGCAAGTCAGTCTAAGGTAGACCACCACTGAGAACCTGAAAGCATTGTTTCCACGATCCCCTATACTGATAATTAAAAATTAGCATGAAATGCAATTGGAACCCCTTTTATTCTTACTGAGTTTTATTCAATTATACCTTCAGTGTGGCACCATCCGAGGTACGCTACACGTCTAGAGATAAGAGACTAACACGATAGAAAAGCAGAAAATTTTCTACAATGTGCAACTAATCCCAGAGAAACTAAAATTACGAATATATAGTTGAGAATGAGTGAATGAAAAATATGACGTTATATAGTAAAATCCTTCAGGTTTAATAATTGATAAAGATAGATCTCATAAACCCTTAAATTATACATAACCACAAAGTAGTCACTAGTGTACAAAAAGTATCATTTTCAAGATAATGGAAATTTTTAGATCAGAAAGATAATTCTGTTTGAGTTTGCGTTCTCCTAGGTGTATGGTTTAGTCTTGATGGAAACCTGAGAATTTTTAGAAGCTTGTTACTCAGATCAGTTAGTGATCGGTAGACGTGTCAATATCAAACCTACAAAAATCACAGGCAGCCGCAAGGTGAAGAGTTAGGTCAGTGGGAAGAAAATTAAATATATATGTAGACAGTTTCAGAACAAGTGCCGGCAACAATTAACCAGAATCAAGATTACTAGAACAACCCTTTAGCCGATAAATTCGATGATTTCACTTCTATTTGAAGTTTGTACCGATCATATCATCTAGTAAGTCAATAGAACCTTCACGATCAAATTGCTAATCTCACAGTACACAACTCCAACCAAACTAAATTTTAAATATATTAGAACAGGGTGGATCAGACCTCCACTACCTTGTGGATTAGAACTCTTGATCAATGGCTCGGGGTGTGACTCCATAAGTCAGTCAGTCAGTAACAACGTGGAACTTCGTACGTACGTACATCAGTTCGAGTTGCCACACCACATTAGCACAGAAATGCAGTTATCGATTCAAATCCCGTAGTGGTAGAGGTAGTGAAAATATAAGTAGTAATCGGAAACATTAGGGTTTGATGATGTTATTTAAGGAGTATAGTCCAGTAGAATAGATTTGGAAAGAAAATAAAGGACATGAAGAATTCAGAAGATTAGAGTTTGAGATAACACAAAGAGTGGATGCACCTGCGCTATTACAAACGATTTTGAGCCATGTCATTCAAGATCTCTAACCATCGGTTGCTATCATCTCGCGGACCCCAACCAGGTAGTCTACACCTACCAACATGACTCAGTTCACTTGTCAATGACTTCATGGATTTGTTATTATTATTAATCTCAACTAAATTAATAATACTGAAAGATATTGTTTGTTAATAGGTGATTAACCGTCTGACCTCAATGTACAAGAGACAACTGCATGAGACTGTATATTTCCTGATGTTACTAGCAACATATTTTAAGGGCCTTGTCATCGGTGACGAAAATTTATGTGGGATAAGGCAAACTCTTTTGTTTTTAGTCCTGGTCTTTTCTAATTACCGCGTCCTGTCATGGAAAGACCGCATCACTGCATCTCTGTGCTAATGTATTATGGCAATTCGAACTGATGTACATACGTACGAAGTTCCACGTTGTTACTGACTGACTGATTATCTATGGCAAATGCCTTACTGCAACCAGAACTCTAGTACAGTCAGAAAGATGACTTTGTCGTCGGACTTGATGTTGAGGCCTTTGATCCTACCATTCTCCAACGAACCTGCATGACAAGAAATGACTATTCCACACAATATAACTCGATTGAATCATCACAGTATCCTACTTAGATTACGATCACCCCATCAATGTAGTAACTATAGTCAGTCGTTTATCTTTTTATATTATCACGTCTATATTTATTTCTTCATTTATAGGGATGGTGAATTAAAACGAAACAAACCAAAAGACACATTGAAACATGCACAACAAAAATATGTTAGTCAATATGTTATACCTGCTGACTCACAATCATCCTCTACTTAAAAACTGTTCTATCCTGTATACACACCCACACACACACATAAAATTTTTCTACTACAACTCTGACTTTTCATTCTCTATTGAATCCTACCAAATTGTTATTGTTTATTTTTAAATTATAATTTTACATTTGAATTTGTAGTGATCTTGCAATTTAAATTTTCCTTAGTTTACAAACATTCCTCTGTTTTATATTATCATTATTATTATTATCCAAAGAGAATTTATCCAGAGTAGTAAGATCACGCTTTTCTATTTTGCAACAATTGATTGTTCTTTTGTAATCCTCTTACTTTTGTATTTGTTGTTGAAGAACTGTTTCGATTATTATTATTATTATTATTATTATTATTATTATTATTATTATTATTATTATTATCAAATATATGAACTTCAATTACCGCTGCACCACTATATATATATATATATATATATATATATATATATATACTAGTCTGTTTATTTACCCTTTGATATCTTTATCAATTAGTCAACCAACCTCTCTGTCTTCTAATCATTTTTACATTAATGTGACAATCTTGTTGATTCTGCTACTACTAATTTTCTTTCCTTCAAACAAACAAGAATTAATGTGTTCTATTTATCATTTCAATGTACAGAGAAAGTGATAGAAAAGTTGAACTGTATAGAAGAAATTCATAAACATAATTGTGTATATACCATTTATTGGTTTTAATTTTCATCTTATATATCAGACAAATATTGTTTTTATTTTTTTCCGTGGGCTAACATTAAAACGGTTGTGGTTTTTTTCCTTAACCTTAACGATAAATTTTGAAAGTATAACTGAATATTAAAAATTAGCGATTGGTTATGTCTACTCAATATAGTGTTGGTGCATACTTTTTCCGCCCAAATATTTGGAAATGTTGCATGATGAAAAGAGAATTAACCATAACTGTAACCGTGTTCAAACTTGTATCTAAACTGATGACATGGTGATTTCTATAATTCACTGATATTAAAAAGGTAATCACTGTACAAAATATTGACTTTCATGTTCGTCTTTAATAATAAACGATTTAACATTTCAAAAATAATTATCATTAAGTAACTGCTTTGAATTGTGCAAAGTGGAAAGCCATGAGAAATTGTTTATTAATATGTGGGCGGGTGTAAATGATAAATTTAAACTACAAATGTTTTAATGTTATTCTTTTCAGGATATAGTTTTATCTCATGAACTGACATATTAGCTGAGAGTTTACTGAAAGCTAAGATAGCAATTCACAGATATTCCTTAGCACTATGCACTTTCTACTGCTCCAGAATTCAAAGTTAAAATAGGTTTTCACCAGTTAATTAAAACTGGATATATGGATCCTTGAATTCTAATATGGCTATCCAATTGGTAACAAATTTGCTGCGAGACCCAAAGGTCCTGATTAGTGCAAACTGTCATAGGTCCAAAATCTTGTTTTTTTTAATTCTTACAATCTGGTGAGAATTCATGATGAAAGTGATTCCTTAAATAAACTAATTCCTACATCGTTTTGATTAATTATACACCAAATAGGTTGTTGAGCGTCTTGTCGAGGACTTTGCTTGCTGCATTTCTATTTCGTCATTATTTCTCCGTCCCACTAACATTGTACATAAAGTGACTATGGAATGTAAGTTTCCAAACGCAATTCCAATTAAACCAGTCAATGTAACATGGCTGCCACAATGACTTACGTAATGTCTGGACACTGAAAATTCATAGTAAAACTCCGCGCACTTGTTATTTACTTCTCGGTTTATCACACTGAATTAGCTTTTAGTGGCCTGCATCTGGCTCCAATTTCATCGTGCGAATATCGTCCAGAAGCTAGAATAAGCTATGTGGGCTTGACATGGGACCAGCCACTACAAGATTAACTGTTATGTCCCGACGAGAGTTATAAATGGTAACTTGTGAGAAGCACATATTTTTATTGTATTATTGTTAAGTAGCTAAACTACGTATTCATGTTCTCCTTATCATAAGCTTTATTTTGACTCAGACTATTATTATACAATTTACCGTTTTTCAGTTATACCCAGCCTATTAGTTACAGTCTCCCACATTCACAGCCACTTTTCGTTAGGTCTTGTACAAATGTTTTTTTATTTTCTGGCGTCCGTTTGGTTTGTATATAAACGCAGTATGTTTTAAATACGTGGTTCATATCGCAGGGGCTAAGATGGGTTTTCTAGACTCAACAGGGAGGAAGAATGACCGATAAAGACTTTAGACTGTTCGTACGGGTTTACGCGTCGTTGGTCCAGTCGATAAACCACTGTTCTCTAATTGGCGGTATCATTACGTTATATATTAATAGGGTACAAAATATAAAATTAACAGCAGAGGAAATTAGATTAAAAACAGTGTTATTAGTCGAAGTAATTATATTAGTGGTGTGAAAGGTATGTATAGGAAACCTAATATTTGGATCATGATAAAGAATGGACACATTTAGACTACTACGAATATACAAGAGAACGTTTCACTACATAGCTAGGATGTGGTTTCAAAATTGCACCTACAGAGTATACATACGAAAAGTCTAATAAATCGAGTACATTTTACACTAGGTTATTCATTGTATGCTGTAGCTGTCGGTCTACACAAATCCTATCAAATTATTTATTAAAAAGAGGTGATTTCGTTTGTTATCGTGACTTTTGAAAACAAAAATAATTAAGTGAAATATCTGTTGTGTTTCAGATAATCTTCCACTTCCTCTGTCCCGCCAGCCTGTTTATTTATATCTAAATGTCAAGTGGAACTGTTAAATTATCTTAATTCAATAAATCACTGGAAAAACTCTAAATTCAGCGTCAGTTGTTAAAAGTATACTTTTGAAGATGGAACGAATTAACAGTGCTGTATAAAATATTCCTGGTAAGACTATACTGACAACCGTGAGTGGACCAACTTAGTTTGAGCTAACGCCTTTCCGATTTTCTCGTAAAATTTAAAGCACAATGTAGGATAGCGTTTGTTACTCAGAACTAGGCAAAAATTTGCAGTATTTAGTTCCTAAAAGTATTTCTGTTGTCCAACGACACTGATTATGAGGTGGTGTGTAAGTAAAATTACACAGAATACACATGCTAGTGATCCAGATTATATCTGATAGTAGTTGATATGATTCATTACCTATTCAAGCATATTTGTGTGGATAAAATGTATTCTAACACTACTAACTTTAACTTCTAATATTCTTAGCCATAACTGTAGCCCAAAACTTGATAATTAATCATCTTAACATTTTCTCATTTATAACGAGAAAGTACTAGTTGAAATTATTAAATTTATTTATTTATTTTAACACGTTGGTATTGGTACAAGGAGGCACCAAATACATATGCGCCACACAAATCTCAATTGATTTGTGTGAGGGCTGTGATACTGCTCGGGTGCCCAAACCGAAGCAGGTGGTTTTCTTAGGGGGCCACACCCCAAGCCTTTGACCTGAACGTCTGACCCACAAGGCAGTGGAGCATCGTAAGGAGATGCAGTCCCATGGTAGCCGGTGACCAACGATTGGTTCATACGCCATTTGTTCCCGCAGGATACTGGAGCCCATGTGCACCATTGGTTTGGGGTCCGGTTAAAGCGCCAGACATCCGCTTTTCGTCCTTTCATTTTCGTAAACAACACCCGTGGTGCGAGAAGGCAGTGATTAGGACTTCCCTGGCAGAGGCTATATACGCATGGCCATGTGAGAGCATTTCGAGAGAGAGGGAGAGCGGACTCTCCCCACTCTCGGCCGTACCAGGGCAATTTATTATCTATCTTCGAATAGTTCTAATTTGAAATAATGGTGACGAAAACCAACACATCATGAGGATGACTTTTTTGAAATGAAATATCACTGTTATATCGAAGTTAGAAATTTGAAAAAAAAAAACAATTGACCTTGTGTAAAAGTGATTTGTCGTTCTTTCCTGAATCTAGTTATTGCTACTTGAATGTGCTTTTACTGATTAACTAGATTGTTCAAATCCTTCGGTATATCAGAGAACTCATATGTTGAAGTTTTGCATTTTCCCAGTTCAAATTCACAAACATATACATTAAACGTATGAAAATTCGTTTTGCTGCATGCTTGATAAACCGTATCTCCAGTTAGTTTAGATGAAAAGTTTAGCCTACTCGCTGTTCGTGTACTTTGTTTGTAGACGTTATAGCATATTCAAAAAATGTATTATTCGCTTTAGTAAATCAATTAATTAAGGTTAATTGAAAGTAGATACAACTTGAACATCAAAAATGATGTCAATTTGTGCTTACCTAGTTGTTTTCTTTTTCTTAAATATAAGGTGCTGTAGACCGAAAAATGTATTTATATGGAGATGGCTAGCTCATTTTAAGGGAATTTGTACAAGCAAAATGTGTTGTAAAAGAAGATCTTTGACTTACTACCTTCAACTTGTTCACTTTACTAAGACAAATAAGATCATCAAGCTTCGGAAAACGATCAAATTGATCATTATTTGTCTTCACTATGTACTTACAACGTTACTCATAATATTAATTACAAAACATGACTCGAAAATTCATGTAAACAACTTAAGATAGCTATAAATTTCTGTTCTTGAATCTGGAAATTGACAATATGTGTAGAATTCAATTTGTTTATTATTTATAGGATTTTCCAAGCAAACCATGAACAGTCGCTTTGGTTAATCTTTCCACGTCAAACTGTTTTCAGTAACACTACTACTCTGTTTTAATTAGACTAAAAACCTTCATCGTCTCGAAGTTATTTTTAATGGCAAGAACTGAAATGGTTGACAGTTTATTCTATCACAGTTTACAGAAGTAGGTCATGACGGTCTAGCATATTGACTGTATGGTATCCTGTATTTCCACCGAAATAACAACATTGTGAAGAAGTAGAAGACGTGAAAGTCATACAGTTCATCAATAAATAAACAGCGGTATGTATTAAAAGATATAGTTTAGTCAAGAAAACAAACTAATTGAGTTTCGGTCAGTTACAATGCTCTATTTTTTATGAATGAGGTAATCAGAAAATTACAGAAGGGTCTACACTAGCTTCTATTTCGAACAGTCTAACAGCCTCTGAAATCACTTGGTTGTACATCGGCATAATAGGGACAAAATCACGAGTAAATAGCAGAACTGCACTCACTGACATGACCACCTGATTAAATATGTTCGGAATAACGTTGAAAATGAACCACGAATGGGCCAGATTAGCACATTCTGGTTTGACTTTCTCCATAATTATATCGAATTTGTACGTCATATTAGCATAAGGACTCAAACAGTGACTTAGATATGCGATATTTTGAAGTATGTTCAACGATGAAGAAAAATGAGTCAGTATTT